AAGAGCTACCCTAAGTGGAAAAACCTTCGTAAGTTCATTCCGGGATTTAAGTGTGGTTTCGACCACTCGTAGCTTTACGTAAACTGGATATAAGTCATTTTTTCTCTACTACATAACACTGGGATCGATTTATGATATTGGAACATGACCAAAATATTATAGCTGGTGAATCTAGTGAAGAGGAATCCTTCGTGTTAGTTATATATGCATTCTCTGCTTGAAACTTGAAGTAAATATGTGTTTGATGATAGTAGAATTAGTTTTATAATAGCAAGATATTATACCAGTAGTTATTAAGTAAATAAACACTGGTGAACATGAAATATGAGAGAAGGTGATGAGCCCTGCCTGATGGGATCATTTACTATCACCAAATGCCCCTGTTCACCTAGTAGTAAGGGTGTACCTTAGCTATACATACCCATTTCTAATTTATTTAGTTTGGTTTTATTTTGAAATTAAATCTGGGTGAGACATAAAATAAAAATATGCTGCACAAATGATGTTAGGTAAGGAGAAGGGTAAAAATGTCACAAACTTTATTCATTGAATACTTAAAGCTATAATTATGACTATATACTGTAGATTATTAAAAAAGAGAGAGGGAAGTAGGGGTCCAAAACCTCTTCCTGTTATACAATTTGGGTGTGGAACAAGTAATTATCAAAAGAAGGCACCATGTCGGGAAGGCTATGTAGCAGTAAGGCAGTGAGGTGAGGCAGCTACTTATTTGAGAAATGCTTATTTTATTTACCTTATAAGCTGAGGCAACTTATTTTATTTGAGGAATACTCAGCTGATTCCTCTACATTTAGCATGGAACAAATTTGTGTCCAAGACCTCTTCCTGTTACTCAATTTGGCTGTGTGTAACCAAACTAGAAGTGCTCTACAAATCAAGGGACCCAGAATGTGGAATGACCTCCCGAATCATGTCAAAGGCTGTACCTCTCTCAACCAGTTTAAGAGTTAAACCAAGTACTGCCTAATTAACTCCATGTAACCTAACTTACCTCCTAAATGTCAACCCATGTCTTGCTATTTTTTAAACAACGCTGTTCACCAACATGTGCAATTGCTGAGTTATACTATGCTAACCCCCCTTTTTGTATTTTTTATTCCTTCTATCAACACAATTTATACCTAATCCCGATTACTAAGTTTTAGTCTGTGTTTTTTCCCACACACCTTGCCCGAAATGCTATGAGTATTAGTGGCTTTAGGTATTGTATGTACTAGCTCTGTCTATAAATCCAACATTATGTTTGTAAATCAACTGTATGTACTTTTCCTGAATAAAATGTATTTATTATTTATTTTTTAATCAGTAAGTATTAAAAGAAGGCACCAAGCTGGGAAGGCTTTGTAGCACCATTGTGTGTAACAATAAACCAAATTTTTTTTAACAAATAATGCACCTGTATGGTAAAACAAATCCTGTCAGCTGTAAAAATATTGATGCAGTTATTTAAATGAAAAATATAATGAAAGAAATATTACTGGTTTATTTTTATCCTATCTTTTTGTACTGTACAGTATATCCAAGGAAGTGAAAAATTGAGACATAATGCACAATTTAATGAATGATTAGCATGGATTAGCAGTTCAAAAGAAATATGACTTGTATTACATATCAACTTGAGATCTTAATGATCCATGGTCAACATGATTTAATAAGGATAATACAGTACTGTATTTGTAATAATACAAACTATAATTTAAAATCTTTATTACTGATTTTTTTTATTAAGAAGATTAGGTATACACAGCAATGTGCTGCTACCCTATTCTATATGGAATATTACACAGTGTAGATAAAAAACTAGCTATAAGTTTATCTAATACTCCCATCTCACAGGATGGTTAGACATACTGTACATGGAATCAATTTAGAAAATACCAGCCTCAATACAAAAAACAAATCAACTCTGACTAAACAACTCTAAGCAATTTTCACAAGAGGTAAGCACTGAATCATGGAAACATTATATTATAATTACTCTTACCAGTTTCTACAAAACTCCTCTCAAACAATGTATTTTTAAACATGTTTAGGTATACACAGCAATGTGCTGCTTTCCTATTCTGTATAAAGGACCACACAGTGTAGATCAAAAACCAGCTACCAGCTCACCCAACATCCTCACCTCACAGGATGGCCAGTCTTACATGGAATTAGGAGAGAACAAAATACTTAATGCTGATCTATTAGCCTCCACTGGCAAAATCTGGGTGCAGCACAAGAATATCTTCCAATATTCCTGAGTGTATGAAGTAATTACAGAGCTCAAAATACCTCATACCATTTGGTATGAAGTCACTGATAACAGGACAATCACAGATATAGTGTTGGAGAGTATGTTCTCTCAAGTAGGACTGAAAACAGATGTTTTTTTTCCACCAAGAGGGCTATAAACCCATGGAACCGCCTACCCGCTGAAGCCGTAAATGCCAAATTCCAGCAAAAAAATATCATTAAGACAATTGGCGGGCCCTTTAACAAGCCGCCGGCTTTCTGTCCTCTTCGAGGCCACTAGATAGTTAGTGGCCCTTGGGTATATTCAGTAAATATATACAATAATTGTCAGCGCATCTTCCGAGCAACAAGGACAGCTACACAGTATCTCTTAGAATTACGTAGGTAAACAACAAATGTAACATATTTGTTTACTACAATGTCGGTGCTGGCTGTAGAAGTTGAAAAAACATTGTTTTACTTCGAAATATACTAATTTTATAAGAAAATTCGACGTAAATAGGCGGCAGTAGAGCTCCGATAAGCCAGCGCTAAATCTTCAATATGAAGAATGTTGCTGCTCTCTGATTGGCCAAACGAAACACAGTAGTGACCTCTATCGGCACGCAGGTGAACCAACAATTTTCTTCCTAAGTATACCTTATTGAATCGCACCTAAGCATCTTCTTAGGGCGCACTTAGGAACCTTCGTAGCAAACCCACTTACGAAGAAATACACAGAGCTTCCTGAATCTAGGTCCAGGCTTTGTTTTCGGTTACTAATTCTGACCCCTTTCCAATCCAGGGGGACTTTTCCTTGATCTGGCTTTTCTAATTAGGTCTTTCAGTAGAAGAGACAAATAATCAGATTACAATTTTGGATTGAATTCCGTCCAATTAGTGACCTCGACGAGGATAGCAAGCCGGCGGCTTGTCGAACGTCCCCACCCCCCATTTGTCCTGATGATTTTTTTCAGTTTGACTTGAAAATGTAATTTTTTTTTTTTGGGGGGGAAGCATTTTCAGCTTTGACGGGTTGGCAGTTCCATGAGTTTATAACCGTGTGGGTGAAAAAGCATCTCCTGTTCTCAGTCCTACATTGTGGCATGTTGAGCTTGAAATCGTCGCTCGTTGTTTGTGTTAATCTGACCTTTTGAAGAAATTGTCCGGATCAACATCTTCCTAATTGTTCAGTATTTTAAGTTTCAATGAGGTTCGCTCTGTCATGCCTGGTTTGCCCTGTTATGCCTGTGGCCCTCAACCATTCCTGATACGAGAGTTGACTTAGCACTGGAATGATTTTTTTTTTGTTGCCCGGTGTTGCACTTTCTCCAGAGCTATGTTCTTTTGAAGATGAACATGCTTCTCCATGCTTAGATACAGTAATCCACATAGGGGCACATCAGAGAGTTATACAATTGAATCACTACTGTACCTACTTTTCCTTAGTCAAAGGTACGCTTGATTATTCCAAGGGTTTGGTTAGCTTTTTCGCCTCCTGCTCCTTCCAGTTGTGCAACTTTCAGTGTGTGGTGGATTTTAACTCCAAGAACCTTTTCTTCATCAATCTGTTGTAATGTTATTACTGTAATTTGGTAGTTGTGATGTGGGTTGGTATGCCCCACATGCAGGGTCTTGCATTTATCAATATTAAAAAGCATTTGCCAGTTCTCTGACCATTTGTGGAGTTCAAGTAGATCTCTTTGTAAGGCTTTAAATATCATTATCATTTCCCACTTTTCAGTCAAACATTACAGTAAAATTATATATATTTGTTTCAAGTCATTGCAAACTTCTAATTCATGGATGATATTGCTAAATAATTAGAAAAAATAACAATAAGGTCACTGGCATAGTATAAAATAAACATTAAGCAAACCTTTGGGTTAAGTTAGCAATCTTGACTTGACTCCAGTAGAATATCAAACCAGAAGGGATAGGCTACCTAAAAGGACCATAAGGCTCATTCCTAAAGGATGGAACACTGTTAATCTGTCTTTCATCTTTGATCATCTTTTCATCTTTACAGTCTCCATGGCGTAGTGGTTAAGACGCTCGCCTGGCATTTTGCGAGCGCTTTGTCCTGGGTTCGTATCCTGGCCAGGGAGGATTTACTGGGCACAAATCTTTAACAGTATCCACTGTTTACTCAACAGTAAAATGGGTACTTGGTTGTAAAAACGATTCTTCGCGGGGTCATAGACCAGGGAACATAGGATTAAGGACTTGCCAGAAACTACTCGTACTAGTGGCTGTACAAGAATGTAAGAACTCTTGTATATATAAATAAAATAAAATCAGAAGAGGGATTTTACAAGCCACACTCATCTGCCCACAGGGTCATTGAAGCATGTAATTCCTCAAAGGCCCCCAAAGAAAATACAGTATAGGATTAATGGACGACAGTAGATAAGATATAAGACTACTACCACTGCCTTTGATCAGGAGAGGGGATTACAGAGAAATGTGAATTACGGGTGCCAGCTGGAATTTTCACAACATGCAAGAATCGGTAGATAATAAACTAGTCCTTAAATCTCCCTTGTTTTATATCTTGCTGTTGTCTTTTATGGTAAAATAGATCTACAAATTCTGGTACTGAAGTTTTGAAAATTAGATTATACTCGGTGAATATATTGGAGTAAAAATCAGCACACATTGAAAAATGCCTTTGATACTAGTGTGTTGTAAACATTTTATAGCTATTGGAGTAGAATACAGTACTGTATTTAGTTTTAACTCTATTAAGGGTAATAATAAGTATATTTACACAAATTATTTTTATTTTAGATTCAAGAAAATCATGTAGAACAGAAACAACAGTTACCAGAAATATGTACATTAATGGTATTTGCGACACATAGCGGGTTCGACTTGAGAAGGGGCTGATCTATTGGCAGAAGAGGGAAGGGGGCCAGTAATTGAGTCTAATTCCATCAGTGTGTCTAAGAACCCAGGACTGTCGAGTTTTGATTGGTCGGAAGTAATTGGAGAATAAGAATATTAATCAGTAATAATAAGTCATGTGGAGGGATCTTATTTTGTATAGGCTGGAAGGCTGCCGGATCACAAGACGAATTATTAGCAATTACACAAACCGTCATATGAAGTGATTTATAGATTGTATAAACACCCACTAATCTGTTCAATACACTTTGTTTTTAACTAAATGGACTGAGGACCACTGCAAAAGTTGAATAAAACAACTCTTGCAAGTTTTGAATCCCCTGAGTAGCATTAACTTTCAGTAGTGTTGGCAGTCAGCAAAAGGCGCCAAGGACGGCTTTTTAGGGTGTGGACAACAAACAGACTACATGGCAGCCTGAGGCCACTGGGCAGCCTTGCCTTTGTATCGCTGTGATGAATTTCTTGGAGAGATGAAATTGTAGACCCAAAGAGTGTAAGTTATATATTTAATGTATGAACAGTATTAGCTTTCTTCATTACAAAGTCAAAGGCAAAAGAACTTTGCTTTGTAGACTTTAAAATCCATAAATTTCTAAGCGCCTCTACCTAATACCCTAGTAGGAAGTCTCCCGTTTTCACCTTCCAGCCGATCCCTCACACACAGGGCGAGTCTGCTCATCACAGCTTGCCATAGTTAAGCTTTCCCTCTCATAAATCAACACAAACACATTCACTGTTCAAAACTTATTTACATCTTGTAAGCAATGATCATAACACATAGGACCAAGGCAATCTATTTGTAAAATTATTCATATGAAATATTTTACATTTGGTCGGTTATCTTACAATCTACACTGCTTATTATCCATTTATTGAATTGGAATTATGAACATATGAATGTGCATTAAATTCTCGAGCAGTACTTGGGTCTGTTTCTCATGGAAACAGTAGGTTTTGGACACAGGAGCATGGCCCATCCTACTAGAATACACCACTTGCTCAATGGACCTATACCAGCCTCCAACTTCAGTTTTAAGTAGTGTATGTAACAAGCACAAAGGGATTAGTTGTTAATGGATTGTTTTTGTAGCATTTTCTAACTTTGATGCAGAGGTTTTTGACAAGTTTGAGGCAGGGTGAATGAAATGTTAAGACACAGATGAGTTTTTGCAATGAGTGTTTCTATGGATGACTGAAGCACATCAGACAATCCAACACATAGGATAAAATCAAATACAGTCAAATGAATGAGGTTTGGGCACTTCTACCTACAGCCATAATAGGAAATGGGGTGAAGATAGTATGATTCAAGTATGTTCTGTTTGGGGATTTTCCAATTTCACACATTCTGGATTGCATTCCAGTTTTCCCAGCTCCTACATGGCTCGTGAAGAATAATGGAAAGGGAAAGACACATTGACACAATATGAACAAATTTTTTTCTTTTTTGTACATTTTTTTGTGAGCACCCACCCCATTGTTCCACTGAGGATAAAGGTGTACACACATCACCACCCACCTACTGCCATCACCATCACCATGGTGTTTATACTCATTAACATTCAGATTATCAATTGTTCACAACAAAATAGATTTAATTGTTTACCGACACTCTACGAAAGATCCTGTGTATCCTGACTAAGTCAGAAGTTTCACTTTATTGTAATGCAGGCAGTAAATAGGAGTGGTGATGACAGATGGTGGGCCTCTTGGGCACTACGGCCCCGGCTGCACTTGTCAGTGTGCTCGGGTGGGCACCAGTGACACAATACACATCAGCAGCTGTCCCAGAACATTGTATTATCCTTGCTAGTTTGAATCTGGGTTTTGCACTGCTGTGAATGTCTCTTGATAAAACAGTGGACACTTCACATGCAGGTACTTACTGTATTGCTGTGTATTCTGTCCAGGCATCTCACGAGATCAAACTAAAGTATTAAGAGGGAAGAACCTCGGTGTCGCAAGGGACTCTGCTCTCCCCCCACCAAAATCATACCCACTACCAATTTGGATAGCTTCATTCCATATTTTGGTGAAACCTTTTCTTAAGCCTGCCCGTTTAAATTTCTTTAGACACAGAAATTGGTTTGTAAGATTGTAGGTTGGAGCTAAATAAATGCATGGTAAAATCTGGAAGCTGAGACAAATGAGCCATACTCACAGTCACCAACATTGTATAGAGCTTTTACCTACAATTACAAAGTGGGATTAAACTTCAAACTGAGGTGGACGAACCATCAAGCCAGCACAAAATGTGTGGGTAGATATGTTAAGTTGGGTGAGGCAAGAAAAATTTGGTGCACTGAGGCAACTTTCCTGGATAGCAGAGTCTAAGGTACAAGTGATGCCAGGTTTACAGGTACATCGCACTTCCATGCTTCTTGGCTATGCAATTTTACATTTAAACAGTTAATATCGAAAGTTAGACATATGATAAAAATTTTCCTACATCGGTTTTAATTATGAATGACTGTAACCTGCAAACTGGCAGCACTAGTTTACAGCTGGTTGGTAGCGACTGACTACAGTAACATTCAAGGCCCTGTGGGTAATGGGTCATGATGACTTATGCTAACAGTTTACCCACACATAACTTGTAATATATTCATCACTATGGAAATATTATTCTTGATTTAAAACCAAATCATGGCAAATGCATGACAAGGAGAAGTTTTGTCATTATTATTCATCTTATAGAAGCCTCACTTTGTAAAAATTACAACAACAATGATGTAGAGAAGTACAGTACATTATTCTCACAGCTTAGTTATACCCAAGCTATAGTTCACAGGTAAATTATCTAGAAATGTGGCGCAGATTGCTATCCATTGAAGAAAATTCCTGAGGGTGCACAGGATACTGTTGCTTTGCCAGTGGTACTCCATTGCAAGTTTGTCTAACAATGTTCAGCTTATCAGTAACAGTTATTGCACATTTAAGCTTATCAAGAGGATGGTCTGTGGAAAGACAAGCCAGAACTCTTCAATGCTGGTGATTTTTGGGTGGTGCAAGGTTTCTTCACAGAAGATGGTGCATTACTCGGTTATGAAATTTAGCCAATTCATTGCTGAGTAGGAAAATTTGTCTGTTAGAAATTGGTTAAGGCTTGTAATTGTTTATCCTAACACATTAAGGAGCAGATGTTCACAGCTAACCATAACACTTTGAAGCTAAGGGAGCACTAATGAACATACTAATTATCACAAACAAGTGTTTAAAACAAGTGCAGGCCTTAGTTAAATGCTAAAATTAAACAAAATTGACTTGAAATACACATTAATTTATATTATCTCCTAAGAACTTATCACGGCACCACCCAACACCCCTTGGGACGGCTTGCAGCCACAACATTTACAAGCAGTACCTCATGTACACTTTGATCAATGAGCATGTGGTCAACTGCCATACATGCACATAGTGGCTCGTGTAAATGGACGAGTGCACCGAGGTCTGTGCGTGTCTGCAAATGGGATTCAAGTCTGTAAGAACAAGGTGTCTCTGTTTTCACATTGAGTTAGTGCTTAAATGAGGATGTAAGGAATTGAACTACAATATAATCTATAAACTAAAATGTACTATTAGCTAATCATTTTGATAAATTTAATTTTTTTTAGATAATCTGAAATAACACAATTGTAAATGGAATTGCTGGGGCATTTGGAGCCAAGGCCATTAGATACAATAATTAAAATAAATAAATCTATAAGGACAATGATTGGAAAAAAAAAAACTCCTATGGAATCAGCAAAAATTAAAGCTACCAGGAGTCCAGTGGAAAAGGCTGGTACCCTGTGTCCAGACTCTACACGTTGTACTAGTCAGTATTTACACTGTACAGGAGAGACAGCCCAGGTGTCCCATCAGTGGAGCCTTGTTCATAATGCAAAACCAACTCGTTTATGGAATATCAAACTGCATGGTAAAAGTAGCTAGGCCAGAGCCATCAACAGAGGTGGAGTTAGGGTATTCTTGTTCAGTATTGTCGGTGGAAATCTTTCTTGCATTCTATGGGATGGCAGTTAAAAAGCTGGCAGTAATTATTGCATTCAATGTTCTTGTGTATAAAAAAGTTACTATTTCACTCATTTTCAGAGGTCTATCACAGATTCCACTTCTCCAACAAAGTATGGTATATCTGTTTACACATACATCAATCTGAATCTCACACTTTAACAGTTTTTCTGGCAGTAGAACAAATCCACATTCTTAAAAAAATCCTTTTTTATAGCACCAACTCTTCTCCATCCTTCTGGGGTGAAAGTTTTTCTAGTTGCAAGATTGGAATGCGAGAATGGCAAAGAAAATACCAAAAGGTAACCTGAAACAAACAGCATACTTAGCCCTTGCTTCTCACCAACACATGAGGCTGCATTGATTACATAAAATGAAGAAATTGGGTTGAGAAAGAACACATTAAAGTGTAAATAGAAATCCATAATGTATTTTTTTTTTTAAGGAAATAAGAGCATAGCATAGCATAATTTTGTAGGAAAAGATGCTGATAAATAGTAAAGTAGGAGAAAATTTACAGTGAGAGGGGGAGGGACTCCTGGGCACAGTCTTTTGAGTGGATATCCATCAACACATTCCACATTGGATTTGGGTAGCTAAGATGGACAACTCACTGACTCTGCATCCTTGACCAACTGATTGACTTCACTTGTACATTCTCCAAGGAACAAAGCCAATTAATTTTGAATTTGCAAAATAAGGTTAGTGATAGTTCTAAGCAAAACTGTTTAGTACAGAGTTACAATTTGTCAAAAATGGGTTGCCAGGAGGTAGCAGGGGGTCAGGTCTTGCCGGTCCCATACCTTCCTTATTCTCAACTGTAATGTTATTACAAATCAATGGCCTTGTTTCAACTACCAACCTTGCTATCATTTTATGTACTCGCCTTATCAAAAAATATAAACTATATTATTCTTGCTGTTTGTTCCATTGTTTGGATCGAAGCAACTAAAATTAATAACTATTCAAGCATTACAATTTTCATTTGTTATAATGCAGCAATATCCATCTCTGGGAATCTTTTGAGTGACTAGAACGGATTGTTTTCATTATATTATTCCAACACAAAACACTTATACACAAGTGTAGAAGTAGAAAGTTTCTTGTGTTAGGCTGGATGGAAGAAGAGGTTGGGATTTTGGAAAATGAGAAATGATCTTACATGTGAAAGAGCAATTATACATCCATCTCATAAAAGAAAAATATTGTATTATATCTGCACATCAATCGCTCATCACTGCTTGAACACTTCTCCAGTTGTTCAAATAATTTTAAAAATGTTCTTAAGTTCACATCATTTATTATAATAATGTACTTTGTAGCATTCTCTTTTTGGCATAAATAACAAAAAAATAAAAATCTAAAAATATCGTGGTGGATGTTGGTTTGATGTTCCATAATCTTGTTTAAAATAAGCCCACAAGGGTTCTTAGATATCATGGAGAAGAGGAAGCTTTTATTAATGGTGTCCTGAATTAATATTAAGACTTGTTTTGCTAAAACAAGAACCGAGGGTGCTGATTTGGTCGTTCTATCAGCAAAGACTCTTCAATGTGGATTTAGATTGTTTGAACAGGATTTTTCAGATTTCTTGGTATTAGCCTGCCTGCAGCTCCGCATTCCATGTTATCCAAAACTTGCTTGGCTCAGATCCAACGTTGCCTGGTACCACCACAACTCCTGTCTCCTAGACACTTGCCACCACCTGAAAAGCAATTTAAAATGTATAAACTTTAAATCAAAGTTACAATAATTAAAAACTAAATTAAGTTTTCCTGAAAAACTTAATTCCTCTTATAATGACAAGTTTATAAAAATTTCCTCTGCACTTCACAAAAGTACACTTAAAAATAACTATTGAATGATAACAGGGAAATCCCAAAAGGAATGTTTTTATGGGATGGGCACAGAGTGTAGAGGCAGGTATGAGAAGTTACAATGTGATTGTGAGAGGAAGGACGTTTGGCAGATTTGTAAGTTTGAAAGATTTATAATTTATGACTGAATGAGGGATTTATGAGTTTCAAAAGAGGCATTTCACCTCCCACTATGGAGAAAATCTCCCTCTTTCCCTACCTCCCAAAAACTGCCCATTACATTTAATACACAGAGAAATCACAGTAACAGTGTATCGATGAGAGAAAATCAGTAGGAGCCGTGAGGATGATTCAAACCTATACTCTGGGTACTCCCAAGCAAACACCTTGGACCACTACACCAAGACATGGTAAAAGCATTGCAACCTGGGATTCAACTGAATCCAATAGGGTTCCTGAGGCCTCCACTGAAGCTGGAAATCATGGAGACATTGTGTGAAAAGGTGATTTCTGGCTTCAATGGAAGCCTCAGGAACCCAAGGGGGTTAAATTGAATTCTAGGTTGAAATGCTTTTACCATGTCATGTCTTGGGTGTTTGCTTGGGAGTACCCAGAACATAGGTTCGTATCCTCCTCCCAGTTCCTACTGATTTTCTCAATTGCATTAATGTTATTAGTAAAAAAGAGTATACTGTACTCTTAGGTAGTACCAAATATAGTAGTAGTAGGTGGGTAGGACTGAATTCCTGGAACTCTGTTCATTGTGAGAAGCATGATCAGAAAAGTCAGTCCTTTTTAAAGCAATTCCTGATGGTTGGACATTTCTCATTCGTTTATTTTAATTTTGAAAATAGGATAGAAAGTGAGATGAAGTTAGTGGAGAAAATATTGTTAACCCTTAAACTGCACAACAAGCCATATGACATGTTAAGTAACTTACCCAAAATTGCACATCACGTCATATGACGTGTACTACGCAAGATTTAAATGGCCCGCGGATACACGGGGTTCACCTCACCTTCATCAGGGCTCTTGTAAACAGATGCCATTTAAAAAAAATTGTGGGTAACATTCCCAGGTGTTAGGGCCTCAGTACTGAGTGAGCCACGAAGGCTGGCGCATGTGGCATGTGCTCACAGATACTGCTGTTCAGCTTGTGACCACAGCATCGCCTAAAAATGTCAAAATATATATGTACATGCTATTATTTAGCGATGATAGTATTACAAAAGACCCCTGACTGTGATAAAAATGTCCAGGATTCTTATAATAGCAGGATTGTTGTGATAATTAGCACTGTAGTAGGAGGAGTAATCTTGGTGGGGAGGGAGGTAGCATTGTCTGCTGACTCTGTGTGACCACCTTTTACTGTCTGGACTCACTATACCAACTTAGTGGTTTGCTATGGTGAACAAAACATGCTGATACTTATATATAATATCTGCATATTATATAGTGAATAAAAGCAAAAAACAGTATGGTGGGAAGAGAATGTTGTCGAGTCAGGTGAGGTTAGGGAGGGAGGGTGGGTGGGTGTGGCAGCCAGTGTTGGGCTAGCTGGTGTGTGGTAATTACCTAAGTAATTACCCAAGTGTAGTTACAGGATGAGAGCTACACTCGTGGTGTCCCGTCTTCCCAGCACTCTGTCATATAACGCTCTGAAACTACCGACGGTCTTGGCCTCCACCACCTTCTCACCTAACTTGTTCCAACCATCTACCACTCAGTTTGCGAAAGTGAATTTTCTTATATTTCTTCGGCATCTGTGTTTAGCTAGTTTAAATCTATGACCTCTTGTTCTTAAAGTTCCAGGTCTCGGGAAATCTTCCCTATCGATTTTATCAATTCCTGTTACTATTTTGTATGTAGTGATCATATCACCTCTTTCTTCTGTCTTCTAGTTTTGGCATATTTATTGCCTCTAACCTCTCCTCGTAGCTCTTGCCCTTCAGTTCTGGGAGCCACTTAGTAGCATGTCTGCACCTTTTCCAGTTTGTTGATGTGCTTCTTAAGATATGGGCACCACACAATCGCTGCATATTCTAGCTTTGGCCTAACAAAAGTCGTGAACAATTTTAGTATTGGCCTGGTCGTCGGCCTGGTCGACGACCGGGCCGCGGGGACGCTAAGCCCCGGAAGCACCTCAAGGTAACCTCAAGGTAACCCCTAGATCTCTTTCTTTATCAGAATGCTTTAAAGATTTCTCACATAATTTATACGTTGTGTGGGGTCTATGTTCTCCTATTCCACAATGCCATGTTATGGAATGTGGAATAGGAGAACATAGACCCCACACAAATGAGCACTGAACCTGGTGGTCACTCCTTGCTGCTATTTGAGTCAGCATCCAAACTTAGTGGTTCCTTATGGTGAACACAAATGTAGATACTTATATATAACGTGTATATATAGTGTAATGACAGCAATAGGAGTGTTGGGAGAAGCCATTTTGGTGAGGGAGGTGGCAACATCTGCATGACTTGTCATGCTGTGTAAGGGTTTCCACTATGCTCTTTGTGCACTATACCAGCTTAAATGAAGAGCTATGGTGAACAGAACCTGTAGATACTTATATATAACGTCTGTATATAGCGAATAAAAGCAAAAATAGTATGATGTGAGGCGAGTGAGGAGTTTTTGAGGGAGGGAGTGGTGTCGAGTGCCTGGCTGGCAGATGTGGCCACTCCTTGCTTTTTGACTCGCATTATCAACTTAGTGGTTCATTATGGTGAACAAAATATGCAGATACTTATATACAACCTGTGTATAGAGTGTAATAACTGACAAAGTATTTGTTCACTGGTTTATGAACATAACTGAATCAATAATATGCACACCATAATTTTGAGTACAACGATGATTTACACATTTTATTATATAAATATATCACTATTGAATAATATTACAGTAAAAAAACCAAGAAAAAATCAGACATTGAAATAATTAGGTAATTATATCTTTGTGGCAACCCCCCCGCCTGACAGCTTCAGCGAAGCAGAACTTTCCTGACTCTTGCTGAGTCAGCGCCTCTTTTTTGCCAGACTTCCGTGACTTATTGCGGCCAAAATATGCCACTTACGATTTTATTATTTTTCCCGTGATCAGGGAACACAAATTAACAGGTTAAGAAGATTTTTTTTTTTTATGCGCCTGTGGGCAACAGGCGCAAATGACAAATTTGACAAAGGCCAAATAGCCCTTAGCAACACAAAGGTTAAGAGATTTGTGAAACAGAAACCCTTCATCAACAAGGCTTGTTTTCCATCCCACCATTTAAGGACTTTTTATAAAGTTGTATATGAATATCCCCCTTCAGTGCCACCATGTAGAGGCTCTTCTTTTTTGGGAAAAAGACCTGCTCAAGCTGAGATCAGGGCTCGGTGAGCAACCCATTCTCTCGAGCATTCACAGTGTCACTAAACTGATGTACTAAATTGCCCTTACCAAACCATGGACCCACAATTAGAAAACAGGACATCATATCAATTTTGCAAGCCGCTGTGATTTTTAATATCGACTTTTGCCCTTAGGGGATTACTAAAAAAAGCAATGTACTATTTGTGAGGACGTGTTGCAATGGCAGCCATTTTGAAATGCTAAACTTCTTGAAGGGAAACTGAAGCATTTAACTTTTTTTTTTTTTTTTTTTTTTTTTTATATACTGTATTTTGTATTATTATACTAGTAATTGTATTGAAAATAATTTTACTAAACGAATAATGATTTCTGGTGTCATTAATTGCATATTTCATTTCAAATTAAATACAGTACAGTATTTCACTTAGGACCAACTCTGTTCTTCATTTAAAAGTTGTTCGATAGGAGCAGCGGTCAGAAAAGCTAACCAAACTCTCAGAATCATAAAGCGTACCTTTGACTTCAAGGAAAAGAAGGTAGTGATTCAACTGTATAAATTTCTGGTGCACCCCCATTTGGATTACCGTACCCAAGCATGGAGACCTCACTTTCAGAAGGACATAGTGCTCTGGAGGAAATGCAAATTGGGCAACAAAAGTAATTCCAGAGCTAAGTCATCTCTCGCATTAGGAACTGTTGAGGGCCACAGGTCTAATAACACTGCAAACCAGGTATGACATAGCAGATTTCATTGAAACTTTTAAAATACTGAACAAGTTGGAGGAAGTTGATACGGACAATTTCTTCAAAAGGTCAGCTATGATACAAACTAGGAGCAACGGTTTCAAGCTCAACAAACCTCAATTTAATACCGAGAACAGGAGATGCTTTTTCACCCACAAGGTTATAAACCCCATGGAACTGCCTATTCACCGAAGCCACAAATGCCAAAACTCTAGTTAGGTTTCAAAATCCACCTACAGAGGATCGAGGCAAATGGAGAAGGGGGAGACCTTTGACAAGCTGCTAGCTTCCTGTCCTTGTCAAGGCCACTAGTGTTAATGGCCCCCTCAGGTAAATTAGGAAAATATACTGTACCATACATAATATTAATATTTAAAACAGAAACAATGAGATATCAACCAAATGACCTTCCTGAAAAATATATTATGGATTTTCAAACCATATTTTAATAATATCACCATCAAATTAAAAACAAAAATGCAGTTATAACCTGAAGGGTAGAATTGCCAATTTAATGTTTCATTATAATTATAGGTAAGTTAACCATGGACAAAAAAATAACTGAAGAACAGTGGGATCAAGATGTTTTTATTTCCTTCTTGGAAAACACTTAATCAGGAACTACACAAGTTGGATGATATCGCTAAGTTCTCATTTATTTAAAAATAGCTTTGTTTCCTAAATAAGGAGAAAAGTGTTTAGTTTCATTTCAGCTTTGTTTTTTAATTATATAATTATTGTCAGAAAATTTGACTAGGCATTGTTTCTAAAATATCTGGTTGTTGTGCAGTGCCTTGAAAAATAAAGCTAAAAAATTAGAATTGAGACAGGATAAGTTTTGCTTGCAAAACAATGCAACAAGTATTATAAAATACTTAAATTTAAGATTAAAAGCACTCGTCTTGCAGAAATACTGAAAATCTAAAGCTTATTACAGGAGAGAGAGTTAGGTACCTAGAGGGTATCTGAATGGGGCTCGGTGATGGTGAGGCGGCGGGTGGAGATGGTGACTCCCCCGTCACTAGCCGAAGACTGGATGGAGGAGTGGTCGTCAGTGTCGCTCTGGTTGCTCGCATAACCCAGTATGTCTACCTCATCTGAAATGTAAAAGAGCAATGAAAATGCAGTTTTGTACACATTTAAATGCCTTTGACAGTCTTTAGTAATGTGATGTAAATTAATCCTGTTAAATTGGCTTGGGAATTAATGACGTTATCAACTTGAAGATTACGATTTGTTCCCCTAAGAAATATGAAGTCTTGATCTTCACACTAACATAATGTTCAACATGTCAAAATTGGCATGTTGCAAAGAATTTACAGTATTTAGTACCCTTGAAATGTGAAAGCCAACTCTCAGCACCAACCATGCTGGGGCTGTAATGCTCTTCAGCAATAACTGACTGCATTCAAGAATTTTTTTAAATATGAGAATGGCAGAATAAAATATTAGTTAATATCGGAATAAATATTGAAATGCATAATGGGTTTTAATATGGACTAATAACTTCTTTTCCTTGGAACCTCTGGTTTCTAATCTCTGAAGATTTTTCAATGGTCCACATTTTTTTTATTCATGGTTGATTTGTAGAAAATATGAGAATGAAGGAACTTCCTGTAAAATACAGTATCCATAAATTAGTAGATCTGTTAAGCTTCAAAATATGCCAACATTCACTAAGAAATATGTCAAATAACAAGTAAAGAAATACGGCTCATCAGTCTCTTGGTCCAAGGTAGTCTGTCACAATCTGTCACAAAATGTATCTGTTCACAATCTGGTTTCAAAATAATCAATTCTTTTGTAAACATCGGTTACAAAAGATCTCTCTTAAAAGATAAAACAGTGGCAGTTAAAAATTTTGTCTTTGCGAAACATCATTATTCACCTATTATTTAATCTTATTTTACAATACCCAGATCATGTGAACAGAATCTTCTAGACCTTCGTATTATATACATACAGTACTGTAACCTACTTTCCACAATGGTACAGTAATTTTAGCCATTTTTTTTCTTTCATCACTTATACAGTCAACACAATTATATATGGTATCTTGTATGTATTTTTAATACATAGCTTTATTACAGTGCACGTATACAGTATTTGTCTAGTCATTTTTATCAACTCCAGGCACACAGTGGACATCTATCTCAACCTTGCCATTCAATATACATATAATAATGAACAAATTTCTTATTTTCATAACATTCCTCCATTCATTGCAGCATAACACTCTATTACCGTCTTATTCCACCCATACTCTCAATCTAGTAATTCATACTCCATTCTCCTCATTATTCATGCTTGAAGTTCTGTATAGCAATAAACCTAGCACATCATGTATACTTCTTCCTTACAAACTTGCACAACTTAAATCTTCCTCCGTTCTTCACCTATTGCTTTAACATTACAAACACGAGCCTAGCTAGAGCCGAGGCTACCTTATCCTTTCGCAGGAAAGAATTTTGGATAATGGGTCCCCAGTTCCAGCCCCTTTACCACTATGGATACATGGTTATTTGCAGCACACAATGTTGGGTATTGTGGTCTCTGCGTTCCAACACCAATTCTGATGCCAAGGCACACACAGAAATAACCAACTCACTTTTTAAGAAATGTACTAACAGCCACAGTTTGAAAAATGCAAGCTACATATTTCAATCAAAATTCCTAAGAGCAAATTTAGGCAAAAACTTCAAACAATCGAAGCAAAAGATAATGCTAAAGTTAACATTGAGATGTATAAGTAAATAGGGAATAATTAAAGGTCAAATTACATAAGTGTGTTTATTGGGACGTTCTTAAACAAAATATTTGTTTTAGAACTAGTAAATTTACATACGAGAAACTCAACTAGTGTTAAAGTAAGTGAAACGTGGCGAGTCAGTGCCGTAGACTACGGTGAGTAAGCTCGAACACTGAATGATGGGGGGGCATTCAGTGATGTAGTGCGGGAGATCATGCCGTAGTTCCTGCTAATGCCCAGTTATTAGACCTTTCAGACCAGTTGGCATGAGGTACCTGGAGCTTTGCAATTACTTTATTCACTCTCGTATTCTTGAAGATATCCTCACAGTATACCCAAAATTTGCCAGTGCAGGCTATTAAACACATGGCTCTGTATGACTAACCATCCTGCGAGATGGGGACTTGTATTACCACTGCTACCTTCAATCTTGTGGTGTTGATATTCTCAAAATGCACCCAGAGTCTGCCAGTGCCGACCGCTTATCACATGCCTCTGTATGACTAACCATCCTGTGTGATGGGGATTTTTTAGCATCACCTAGTTAGCTTCTTTTTGACACACTGTACTCCACTTCATATAGTCTAGGGTAGCTGCACTAATGCAGATGTACCTAATATGTTAATAAAAAAAAATGAATAATGAGTAAAGTATTATGATGACAGGTGGAGTGTGGTGGTAATTATCTGTGATGCTATATGTCATGAATGACATAATGAATGGGCTAGTTTATTTATTTATTTATTATATATATATATATATAATATATATATATATATATATATATATATATATATATATATATATATATATATATATATATATATATATATAAAACATTCATTTACTATAACCTTTTTTTCTCATGACTGATGGCCCCCCCTCCCTCTTGAAAACGGGTTAATGATTAAACCATTACAAAATGCGCATAATTAAATTTATATCAACATTTCTAACTTCGGAACTGCACTTCAATAGTATCGTCACTAGTTCTATGGGTAATAATGTTTCATATACATTATTAGTTTAAAATTCCATCAACATACAAATAAACTTTTCAGAAGACATAAATTATCGCAAAAGTATTGTTACTACGACAATACTGAGAGAAACAAGAGGAGGCAAGAGAGATGTACACAGTGTGTGTGTATGTGTTCACCAATTTGTGCCTGCAGGACTGAACTATTAGCTCTTGGACCCGACCTTTCTAACCGATCTACTTTTTTTCTCCATGTCTACTACATATATATTTCTCTAACACACGCATACATCCCCAGGAAGCAGCCTGTAGCATCTGCTTACGTTATTTACTGCTAGGTGAATAGGCGCATCAGGTAAGAGAAACGCTGCCTATTTGTTTCTGCCACGGCCGGGAATAGAACCCGGGCCCAAAAGGCTATGATCCCCGAACAATGTCCATTTAGCGCCGCGGGGTCCAGCAACGCCCGTGTGTGTGTGTATTTACTATTTGTATTAAATATTTGTGTCTGATCGTGCTATTAGCTCTTGGACCACGCCTTTCTAACCAATCTATTTTTCCTCTATTATATCTACTGTATATAGTTCTCTCTAACACACGCACGCGCACACATCCCCAGGAAGCAGCCTGTAGCAGCTGTCTAATTACCTGGTAGCTATTTACCACTAGGAGAACAGGGGCACCAGGGTGAAAGAAACTGCCCATTTCCTTCTGCCTCCACCTGGGATCGTACCCGAACCCTTATGGCTACGACTCCCGAGCGCTGTCCACTTAGCCACGAGGTCCCCGTGTGTATTCACCTAGTTGTGCTTGCGGGGGTTGAGCTCTGCTCTTTCGGACCGCCTCTCAACTGCCAATCAACTATTTCTAACTACTACTAATTTTTTTTCACACCACACACACACACCTCAGGAAGCAGCCCATGACAGCTGACTAACTCCCAGGTACCTATTTACTGCTAGCTAACAGGGGCATAGGGTGAAAGAAACTCTGCCCAATGTTTCTCGCCGGCGTCCGGGATCGAAACCGGGACCACAGGATCACATGTCCAGCGTGCTGTCCGCTCGGCCGGCCGGCCCCCATGCCCGCGTGCGTGTGCGTGTGCGCGTGTGCGTGTGCGTGTGCGCGTGTGCGTGTGCGTGTGCGTGTGTGTGTGTGTGTGTGTGTGTGTGTGTGTGTGTGTGTGTGTGTGTGTGTGTGTGTGTGTGTGTGTGCGCGCGCGCGCGCGCATACTTCTTGAAAGGCAAGGTTAGAGTGTTGCGTCACAGGAATGAAGCACCATACTGACGCCAATACCCATCACCTCGGGGCTCCGCGCCAGTGTTTATCCACTGCCAAATTCGCGCCCTTGAAAACAGTTGCCAGGGTGGCAGTGGGGTAGAACAAAGGTTGCTCTCGGCCCACCAATCGGCTCATGCCACGTAAGTACTTCCTGTTGACCAACCAATCAACATGGGTTGACATGTCGTGGTAAGTACATGGTACATACGTGATACCACGTAAGTACCCGACATGTAAACAGGCAAGAGCACAATGGAATCACACTAACGTGATGTATCAACACGAAAATCAGTAGGAGCCGCCAGGATTCAAACCCACACACTTGCTACCCCCAAACCCACGCCCAAGAGGATTGAGTTGAACCCCAGGTTGCGTTGCTTTTGACCATGTCTTGATGTAGTGGTCTAGGTTGTGGGCTTGAGAGTATAAGTGTGCGGGGTTCGAATCCTCATTATGGCTCCTACTGATTTCCTCAACATGCAAGAGTGGGCTCCCCAACCTTGCCTTCGCTTACGATTTACTTAAGAGTTTTTTCATCTTTGGAAACATTTACATTTGTGCGCATTAAGTGTCTCACTTGTTTATTGGCACATGATACTAACATGTCAAGGTGGCCATACACGTCTTATGAGGCTGGAGACACTCAGGTAGGCCCCTGGTGGCACCCAGCAGCTGGTGCCAACGAGGGCAGACATGGCATAATTTCCCAGTCAACTTTAGCCACAGATCACGTACCTGCAAGTTGATATCGGTACTCAAGAGTAACCACGCGAGAGACGCTTAAGTAATGTGTGGTACTGAACCTGACATTGAATAGTGTTACACTGTGAACCTTGCTAACTTGCGCTGCCTTCACGATCATGACCATCCATTTATCTGACATAAATACACCTGAGAGTCAAGATGGAGAAACCCGGGCAGACTTAGCTAAGGAAGACATTCAGTACTCACGGTGAGACTATCACCAGCATGAGTACACTGTACGCAAGTTACTGCACGACTTAACGTATCAGTTAACACTACATATATATAACAAAAAACGTGGGACAAGCGCATCAATGGATTTGGGTCTGTTGACCCAGGAATAAAAAACGAGAAGATAAAAAGGGATGAGCTATTCTTAATTCAATTGATAAGCGAACATATTGTGTTTTGTTGCAAGTGATGTGTGGGCGAGGCACGGGCGGACGGGCGGGGTGGCAGCAGGTTGGTTGAAGGGCGCCAGCTGCCCGCCAGATGGTCCCGTCTGGCACTAGTCCATACCACCGGCACCGGAGGGGAAAAAATATATATCCATATTTGCAACAGTTACGGAAGGTATTCACCACGGCGCTCCGCAGTGAACGCGTACTTCAGAGGTCCCAGTGTGTGTACATACGCCAGACCCCAGTAACACACCTCGGTGTAGGCGTACGGCGGACTTATGTGAGCATCAGAACATAGATTGACATCAAATAGAGCAGCATAATTTCAAATATACGCGCGCACGCACACACGCGCGCGCGCGCGCACACACACACACACACACACACACACACACACACACACACACACACACACACACACACACAAAACCCTAGCCAAAGATATACTTAATCTTTGCTCTCTTGGCTCCCAATAGCTTCTTTGAGAGAAGCCATCATCTTACATAATTCCCCCCCTCACCCCCCCTCTTTCTTTACTCCTCTCACTTTTTCTCCACCCTACCCCCTTCCCCCTGTCTCTCTCTCTCTCTCTCTCTCTCTCTCTCTCTCTCTCTCTCTCTCTCTCTCTCTCTCGCCTTTCGCCGTTAACTTTACATCATAGTTTGAAGAGTTGATTTTACTTTCTCTGCTTAAGTGGGTTGGTAGGGAAGATGGAATAAAACTTTTCTGCTCGTCTCGATCTCTTAGTCCCAAGATGCACCATTTGTAATCAATTCATAAATTTCTGAATATACATAGAAATAATTTATAATGTGTTTCATCTGGTTTATGACTATGCTGGTGCGCACAAGGACGGACGGACACACACACACACACACACACACACACACACACACACACACACACACACACACACACACACACACACACACACACACCGGATCACAAGCGTGTCTCACTCTCCCAAGATTCGTGTAAACATACCAAAGGAACACGTGATCAAAGAGCCTGTTGTGCGCTTCAGTGTTGTAACTCTGAGGGTAATATGAAGTTCTTTGCCAGGAGACAGGTGAGCACTCACGTGACTTACCCAGGAAGCGACCAACCACCTCACCAGAGACCCGGTGCCACATGCCGCCACCACCATAGTCACGAACACACCCCATCCTCCACGCCGTGCACCCTACACACACCATTGGTGTTCAAGTTAGACATGACAGTGAGCCCTTTTACGCGCGCGCGCGCGTGTGTGTGTGTGTGTGTGTGTGTGTGTGTGTGTGTGTGTGTGTGTGTGTGTGTGTGTATACATACTGATATTTAAGATTTTACCCAGCACATCTCAGCCTCATATTCATCACCTCACATATGGATCTAGAAGTTAGGTGTCAGTGCATCAGTAGAGTAAGGTGGATACCTGAGAAAAAACAGCAGAGTATTTCAACGATTTAGAATCGTATCGAGGCAAATTTGATATCTTCGGCACCACTACGATGGTGGGTGAGTTGAAACAAGGGGTTATCAAGACTTCATCGTGAAATCCGAGCCTCACTTCGCCTATTTAAAATTGAAAACCTACCTTTTCCTCCAGGTAATAATGATGAACGGCGAGTCCCAACTTCAACCTTCCCTAAACAGGTCTTCCACAACACCCTAAAGCTAGAAATATTCCAAGGCACACGACTAACTACACCTTGCGTGGAGATAAAGACTACATTAACTACACCCAACGACTAGTGGTGGCATAAAGCACGGTCTGGACTACACCCGACGGAGAGAATAAAAGGCAGCCACTAAGCTACACCCAGGAGCTAAAGTGCACGTAATACACCACACTTTGTCAGTTGTAGTGTATGTGGGAACACACTACAGATAAATGCGCTATTCCCCAAACCTAATGGGAATACAAAGTACCCCCCTAGCTACTAGGTCTACAAAGTACCCCCCTAGCTACTAGGTCTACAAAGTACCCCCCTAGCTACTAGGTCTACAAAGTACCCCCCAAGCTACTAGGTCTACAAAGTACCCCCCTAGCTAGTATGTTTACAAAGTACTCCCCTAGCTAGTATGTTTACAAAGTACCCCCTAGCTAGTATGTTTACAAAGTACCCCCCTAGCTAGTATGTTTACAAAGTACCCCCCTAGCTAGTATGTTTACAAAGTACCCCCCCTCCGGAGCCGGTCGGCCGAGCGGACAGCACACTGTACTTGTGATCATGTGGTCCTGGGTTCGATCCCAGGCGCCGGCGAGAAACCATGGGCAGAGTTTCTTTCACCCTATGCCCCTGTTACATAGCAGTAAAATAGGTACCTAGGTGTTCGTCAGCTGTCACGGGCTGCTTCCTGGGGGTGGAGGCCTGGTCGAGGACCTGGCCGCGGGGACACTAAAGCCCCGAAATCATCTCAAGATAACCTCAAGATAACCCCTAGCTACTAGGTTTACAAAGTACCCTCCTAGTTAGTATGTTTACAAAGTACCCCCCTAGTTAGTATGTTTACAAAGTACCCCCCTAGCTAGTATGTTTACAAAGTACCCCCCTAGTTAGTATGTTTACAAAGTACCTTTAGCTAATTTGGATGTTTATTCTCACGTGTATCTCTGATACAACCTACACACTTCTGTTTTTGGTATCGCACAGCACTACCTCACACACCGACCAGCACCACCTACACCCCCTGATACACCCACGTACACATCACACTAACACCACTGATACAATAACTTAAATATCATCACTATCACACCACTGATACACCGAGCTACACCACCAGATCTACACCCACACCACGTACACCACCTAGCACAGTAAGTGGCAAATGATCCCTGATCAACCAGTACCACACCCTCGAGACACCCACTAATACACTACCTACACCTCCCACACTCACACAACTCCCGCCTCGTAAAGCACAAAACCAAAATTGTAAAGGTACAAAGGTTTGCAACAAGATTAGTGCCGCCGGAGTTAAGAGGGTTAAGGTACGAAGACAGGTTAAGGGATTTAAATCTCACAACTATATAAGATGAAGCAGGTGATATATGATCGCGGTATATAAGATAGAGAAATGTACAAGATGGACAAAGAGAACCTCTTTAAATTGAGGGAAAATACGCAACCCGTTCTCGCACTTTCTTTAAGTCAATATTGACTTATTTAACAAGTGCATATGTGACATACTAATTTATTGTGAATATTTTAGTTTACCTTTAAAAGCTTCATAGAAAACACCGACCTTACCTAACCTTCTTAGTATGTTATGATAAGCATCTTATTGCTTCGTAATTACAATTATTACTTAACCAATACCTATAATAGGTTAAGTAATAATTGTAATTACGAAGTAATAAGATGCTTATCTTAACATACTAAGAAGGTTAGGTAAGGTCGGTGTTTTCTATGAAGCTTTTCAAGGTAAACTAAAATATTCACAATAAATTAGTATGTCACATATGCACGTATTTAATAAGTCAATATTGACTATAAGAAAGTGCGAGAACGGGTTGCAACACGACAGGAGGACACAGGTGGAAGTTGGAAACACAAATGAGTCGAAGAAATGTTAACTCGCGCCCTATACGGGTGGTCAGCAAGTGGGATACGCTGAAAGGAGAAGTTGTGGAAGCCACCTCCATGCACAGCTTTCTAGCCATATTCAATAAAAAATTCAACTGACAGGAAAGATCAATTATAACGTAACACATGTAAGGTTAGTAGTCGGGGCATAAAGAGCTAGATCTCGCTTCCTCTAAGTCACTAACAAATAACCACTATTCCATTCATTTTTTATGCCATTCCATTTTAAATCACCACCATTCTCCTCCAACACCATAACCTACACCACACAACCACGCCACCTACACCTTCCACACTACCTACACACCATCCACATCACCTGCACCACACCAATGACATCCCAACGCACGACACCACCACATCATCTACGGTTTAATCTTCATCAATCATCAATACATCATCACTACACCACACCACCAACACACACTCACCACCCCACCAACCACCACCACCACCACCACCACACACACCACCAACCACCACCACCACCACTTAACAACTCACCAGTTTCTGCACTGTGGGAAGAGGAGCAGGCCAGCGGGGACGCCAGGTCCTTGAACAGCTCACCTGTAAAGATCCTCACAGTCAGTCGCCACTCACACCACACACACTATATACATTATCATCTATTTATATAGAAATATATATAAGGATACACAAGGTAAGCTGAATAGCTGAGGAAGGACTGGTTTAACGTGAGGATGAGGAGGGGGAACTATCAGGAGAAAGCGCCAAGCCAAATCGACTATATAGCACTTGCAAAAGGTCAGGATAAGGATTTGGGATAGGACGAGGGGAAAGGAATGGTTCCCAACCACTTGGACGGTCAGGGATTGAACGCCGACCTGCATGAAGCGAGACCGTCCAGCCCAAGTGGACGCAGTAATGTATATGATGAAAAATAACAAATAGATTATAAAATGTTATACCTTGTGTTATCTTAAAGAGCAAAAACTGCCAGAGAATAAGTCAAAATAATGTCGCTGAAAACCAATAATCAACAAGTCTCAAATGAGGGTAACAAAGTGTCGGTCTGTCTGGACCAAATAGATCTGAATAATACTTATAAATGACATTTTCCACTCCACCTAATTTCATTATAGTTTTTGTTAAATATTGTCACGTTTCCCTTTTCTGATGATAGATATCAGATTAATTAAGTGCAATGTGTGTGTGTGTAGTTTAGACAGTCTTAAGGGCAAGCAAAGGCTTAAGCTACTCCATGTTTGGAAGTGTCTTGTATCATTACTTGCTTACCTTAATACAGGTCCAGAGTTCAACCTTCCCGCCCTGAGTCTGACCTGCCTGCCCTGTGCCTGCTCACCCTGCCCCTGCCTGCCCTGTGCCTGCTCACCCTGCCCCTGCCTGCCCTGTGCCTGCTCACCCTGCCCCTGCCTGCCCTGTGCCTGCTCACCCTGCCCCTGCCTGCCCTGTGCCTGCTCACCCTGCCCCTGCCTGCCCTGTGCCTGCTCACCCTGCCCCTGCCTGCCCTGTGCCTGCTCACCCTGCCCCTGCCTGCCCTGTGCCTGCTCACCCTGCCCCTGCCTGCCCTGTGCCTGCTCACCCTGCCCCTGCCTGCCCTGTGCCTGCTCACCCTGCCCCTGCCTGCCCTGTGCCTGCTCACCCTGCCCCTGCCTGCCCTGTGCCTCTGCCCTCTGCCCGCCGTAAGCTGCGGGCGTCAGCGTGTACAATTTAGTGTCTTTTGTCATGTTAGGTCGCGAGTCGCTGAAATGCACAAATTGAGATGATGACTTTAGATACTACTTGTTAGGTTTCTGAACGCTGACTTCGAACCCGGACAACTGGCTATCTCTCAACCAATTACTTGTACTTGCAATTTTTAGATTTAGCCGTTTCATGCATTGTTGGCTCTAGAATCATTTGGGAGTGAATAAGAGCATTGAAACGCTTTTTTGTGTCATGTAAGAGCGCGTGTGCTCGATCCGACCGATCGATCCTATGTTAGTTGTAGGATGTGTGTCTTTGTTGCTTTTTTGACCCAGCCTTCTGGGGGAAGACTTGCTGCCTATTGTGCAGTCGGGCTATGTGTACTTACACTAATGTACCTTGTTTAATATTATGTTCCTCAGGGTAGGATTATTTAAGACTCACTACTGGTAATTTTGCAATCAGTTCTTTTGAAGTGAATCTGTATAATGTACTTTTGTTTGTACTGAGTTAGCTAGATTAGATTATGAGTAACTCAATTCAATGTCTTCTTAAAACTTTGTTGTATGGGACTGTGGTCAAGTTAGGGCAGGACAAAATCAGGCAAAATTGTTCATACACCTGATTTTGCCTTAATTCCAGTCAAGGAGAGTTGTAACAACCAGGAAAATCTTCCTCATATGTGCCATTTACTCCAATTCCCTTCTCTTCCTCCTCGTCTCCCCTTCATAGTTCCCTCTCCTGGGAGAGGTCAGGTCCCATGGGATCTTTACCACCTGCAGGGTTTTTAAAAGTGTTAACGGGTCATCTTGTAGCAAATATCTTAATGGGAACATTCCTTCCAAAGGTCATGCGTGACCTTAACTCCAATAGCTTAGTCCTTGCCCTTCATGCTCTCGCGCTCTCTCTCTCTCTCTCTCTCTCTCTCTCTCTCTCTCTCTCTCTCTCTCTCTCACATTTCCCTAATTCTCTTTCTCCTCCACTTCTTGGCAACTATGATTAAGGGGTCAGGAAGTCTGACCTGACAAAGGGTTTGATCTTTTCTCCATAACACGCTGAATAGTATGTGTTGCCTGCCATTAGTTAAGAAATAGTCTGGTAAAAAAAAATTGTCAAAACGCCTGTTGCTGTTCTCCTCCTGTATGTAAATGTTACGTTGTTATGCTCCAGGTGTGCAGTTATGCTGTTACTGTACTGTCCAAAGGTGTAAATGTTTTTACTCTCCAGGTGTGTAATTGTTATGCTATTACACTCCAGGTGTATACTTATGTTCTTGTTCTCCAGGTGAAAAAGGCCATGACAAATGTGTGTGAGCGTGTACTCACCTAGTTGTGCTTGCAGGTGTTGAGCTTTGACTCTTTGGTCCCGCCTCTCAACTGTCAATCAACTGGTTACAGATTCCCGAGCCTACTGGGCTATATCATATCTACATTTGAACCTGCGCATAGAGTCTGCCTCCACCACATCACTGCCTAATGCATTCCACCTGTTAATTACTCTGTTAATGAATCTGTGGCTCATTTGGGTACAAAGTTTCCACCTGTGTCCCCTAGTTCGCGCCCCAAACATGCTAAATACTTTACGTTTATCTACCCTGTCAATTCCCCTGAGACGTTTATAGACAGTGATCATGTATTCCCTAACTCTTCTGTCTTCCAATAACGTGAGGTTCAGTTCCAGGAATCTTTCTTCGTAGCTCATACCTCTCGGCTCGGGGACTAGCCTGGTGAACCTTTTATAATTTCGTTTTGTGTTCAATGTGATACCACGACCAAGGGCTCGGTGCCCAAGACACGGTCAACACACAGTAATAATGGCGTGGACCGTATAATAAGTCCCGTCGTGTAGCTACTATACAAGATAATTACTTGTGAACAAATAAAATTGTAAAGCCAAGATCCAACAAAGCGCATCATTTCATTAGTGACACGTTTGGAACACACTTTAACAGGATGGACTGAAAACATTACAAAAGTTCTGATTAAAAATCACAAAACGTGAACATCGTTAGCTGCAACGGTTATTTCCTGTACGTCATTACAAGTAGTTGCTGTAAGTGCCAGCATTTTAGGAGGATGGTTGGGAATAATTTCATATTTCGTCTTACAATACATCTGCGCCATCTCCTCGTAACAATACACTCTACGGCACTCGAACATCAGATTTCACTAATTAACCTTCCAGAAAATGTGTTTGAATTTCGTCAAGTACCCTGCCAACCCAGCAACGTCACACACAATATTGTGTTGTTACAGTGTTGTAATAGTTACAACATTAACGAAATATTGTAGTTATTGTATGTTTGATGAAGGACTCTACAACACCAAGATTATACTTTCAATCTGGAAAAATGCTGGTATTAATCCGAACATATCAGACAAGCATGAAGAAATAGACTTATAATAATTCCCTGGTAGAATATTACATACAGTTTATTGTCCATTTCTCAAGGGGAAGGGAACTATCAGGAGAAAGCCCCAAGCCATTTACGTCTATGTAACACTTGCAAGGAGATAAGGATTTGGGATGGACGGGGGGGGGGGGGGGAGAATGGGTGTCCAGCCACTTGGACGGTCGGGGATTGAACGCCGACCTACTTGAAGCGAGACCGTCGCTCTACCGTCCAGGCCAAGTTGTTGGGCTGTCCATTTCTCAATTTCGATGAAATTACAACCTGCTTTTCTTAAATAATGCAGTTATGAGGATTTTGTCGACTAATTGTACAAAATATATTAACTATGTGATAAAATTATATAATCATACTAAAAAAAGATATCAACGATATTAAAAAGTGTACCATCGCGATAATATATCACCACCATAATAAAAAGATATCACACTGAAACCATCTCGATAAAGAAAATGGACTCCCAGGATCGACTCCAGATATACTCCAGTTACACAATCAAGTTATTAAAACTATATCATCAATATGTTAAGAAGATAACAGTACATACAAGATGGGTCTTCCGGGAGACATTAATTTTATTTATAAATACTGATCCTATTTATTGGTACAAAATACTCCCGCATACCAAACAAAAAGAGGATACTGCAAATATAAAATATCCAACCCCCAAAAATCCCGTAACCTTTCATCACAGAACAGTTAGAAGTCTCTAATCACTGGTATGTGGGTTTAACTGAGTCCTATAATCTAGTCTACAAACATTTTTGGCATATTGCAGAGCCATGTTTCTTGTATTTTTTTTACAAATCTGATTTGGCGAGAATACACATCCTTCCTCTTTAGGACTCGTGGGAAGTGTGAGATGCTGTTCATGCTGTTAGGTGCCATGGTACTTCGGAGGCCAGCTGCTGAAGACTTATGCCTGGCGCTCCGAGCTCACCAATTACCAGATTTTAGAAGCTGTGGGGTAGCATGAGCCACCGCTCCTATAAAACTCCAAACTCCTGTGACTCATCCAAACTTCCTGAGCCCCAACATGCAGGGCTCTTGACCTCTAGAGGTCCATGACATGTAAGAGTGGATAGTTAATTGGGACATGCCATCATCACTTCTCTTCCCCAGCCGAGGCGTCAGAGAATGAGGGATGAGGGTGTGAGTATGCTGCCTCCAACAGCTGGGTCGCCCTCACCCTACTGTGTAGAGACGCTTTACAATCCTCGTATACCTAAACTACTATTACTACAATAGTACAATTACTACTACACCTACTACTATATTACTACTGCAATTTCTCCATTCATATTCCTGGGTACTGAAATTCTCTGGCTCCGTCGAGTCTGAGTTCTGTGTAAACAGAAGCAGTAGCAACAAAAAAAATAAGAACCAGAGAGTTAAGAATCTTTCTCTCTCTCTCTCTCTCTCTCTCTCTCTCTCTCTCTCTCTCTCTCTCTCTCTCTCTCTCTCTCTCTCCAAACTTCTCATTAATATA